TTTGAATAACCACTTGCACCTTGGTCAGGGCTTTACCAAGGTTGAGGACAGAGCCAGGACCTCCTTTTACCAGAAGGTGGAGTTTAGTCTGTGCATTGTCTCAGGATATCTCACCAAGATGGACCTCAAAGTATGGACCAGCTGAATAGGTCAAATCAAGCCAGCCAAGAACTGATCAGCATCACTGGTGGTGTCAATAACCTCAGGACACCCTAAAACTTGACTGAGGTACATTTCTTCGGGTATGGTGGTGTGGTCTAATACTCCAGCATTCAACCAATAAGGAACCTCACCTTTTTCAGTACTCCTAAGACATATTAGTTAACATCCCCATAACCCCCTTCAGATTCATCACCAGGGGTGTTAACTTTTGGAGGTATTAATTAAATCCTCTAGGCTGGTTACACAGGTTTAGAACTAAGAGCAACAAATGAATGATATGAAGATTACCAATCCTTGATAATTTAAGTTAAAGTAATAAATAAGGAGCTATTGCCCCAACAGATACCATTTTATATAATATATAGAATAACTGACTACTTCTGCTAACCCCTTTCCTTTTCTCTTATCTTCTAAAAGATCTCCTCCTTTCCATTCTCTCATTAGCTCTTAATCTTCAATATCTTGGCCAATTTTGACCCATCATCTTAGTGAGTCTCTATTCACTACAATTTTATGGGTTTCATCCCATCATTGAAGCTTTGGCTGAATTCCCTTTATTTATCAAACTATTACCGCCTATATTGACTCAATTCAAGTTAACATAATTTACTATTTAAATTTGAGGCTCACTTTGACACTTGAAATATGATTTGCTGAATATATGGAATATTTTACAGTCAAACCAAAAATTTTGACAAGGAGTATTCTTGACAAATGGCAATAGAGCAATAAAGGTAGGGGATTTAGGCACATGAGATTCGTCAGCAATAGGGGTGCCTGTCCCTATGCTTATATCTCTTTTTCCATGCACCTCAATGTCATCTTTCTTCTTCCAGCACACAGTCTCATAGTGCCCAACCTTATTGCAGTAGTCACACAGGGTAAAATAGATCACTTGACTTTTGGCTTTCGATCCTCAGGGGTCATAATCCAAAGGGTATCCTTTTTGGTTTTCAATGGCCAATACCAGTTGTTTTGGCTTTTGAGAAACAAAAGCCAGAACGCGGGGTCTAGACACAACTCCTCAAGAAGCCTCAATATTGTGGAAGTTAGTGACATTAACCAGAGCCCTTTTTATATCATGAACGTTTCAAAAATAGTGCTTCACTGAAGTGATGTGCATTGTTAGAGGATAGTGGGACGCCAACCCAGTCAGGATGTCTGCAACAGCGTCGTCCAATGTCAGCATCTTAGAGGTTAACAGCATCTGCTCTTCAACATAGAACCAGTCTGTGAAGGCAGAAACTGACTCTCCTTTTCTTATGCTGATTCACATGAAGGCTTGCTTTTTCATGCTTAAGCTTTTTGAGACAAACTCATCAATGAGCACCTCCTTAACCTCTGCCCAAGTGCTAAAGGCATCCATATGAGGCACCATCACCTCCTGGCCATGTGACTCAAACAAGAAAATATATTATTGACCTTTTGGTGGTCAATTGCCCCTCCCATGTCTGATTCATAGATGTACAATAATGAAGCAATGCTACCCTCACCAGAGATGAACTTATACTTGAAAGTTGGTTTGAATGAGGCATAGTCACCCCCAGTGAGGGCATGGATCGCAGGGACATCCTGCCCTGTGGTCTCTGAGCATAGATCCAATTGATCAAAAGATTGGGAGATCCAATCATGATGGCCTTGGATAGCGCCAATCCTGGTTTTCATGGTGGTGGAAGGCTTTTGGAAAGCGGCTTTACATAGAGCTAGTTAAGCTGCTATTACCAGCTTGTGAGTTTCAAGGTCATTAACATGGCTCTCAAGTGTCTTGACTTTAAAACAGAGTTAAAATGCAAGAGAGCTTAGGTTTTTTAAGTCAACTTTCATCACCCCCACACGCTTTTTAAGATCTTTTTCATCTGTGTACACCCCTCATCATTGGGTGGGTGGGAGCCGTTGGAATGTAAGTTGCCCTTTATCTGTTTATAGCTACACTCAACCTGCTTCAACTGACTATACACCACCTTCAACAGTGCGGGCCCTCCAATGGAGGTTCTGGCCCCCTGAGTTTACTTCTCACATTCTCTGATTCATCAGGCTAAATACCTTGTATTCTCAAGAGAAGTTTAAGTGATATCTCCTTTTCCAGCTGTGCAACCTTGGCCTTTTAAGCGGGGGTAGCCCTAGAAGATTCTTAAAACAGATGCCGCTCAAGCTCTTCAACATGGGTAAGGCTTAAGACAGTTGCTTCTCCACCGCAGCTACATGTTGTTCATCTTATGGTTGGGGATGGACACATGTGCCAAGAGTTCGCTGTGGTGTTGCTCTTTGCACTTTTTAAGTATCTTTGCAAACTCCTCAAGTAGAGATTGGGTGCTAGCAGCAGATACATTCAAAAATTCCATAATATCTCATAGCCTCTTCTAATATACTTCATAACACCAGTGTCCATGGTGGTGAGCCACTCATGCAACTGGATGATGAATTTGCGGTTTGCCTCCACACCAGATTGTGCTTTTCCAAGATGTTCAGAGGTCAGATTATATAAGTTGCCATAGGATAATCTAAGGCATCATGGTTTTCCAAGTGACGGTGCAACTCCTCATGATGGACACCTAACAGGTGAATCATGTGGAACATATATTGGTATGCAAACTTGTGGATGTAGGTGGTCAGGTTAGTAAGCTGACTATAGTTGTCTGAAGGGTTTGAGTCTCACAGAGGTACATCAGATAATCCTATACAGAAGAACCCCTTTCAAGTGAAGCATTGTCTCCAGGGTCAATATTCCATGTGTCAGGTCACTCACTACTTCAGTCACTGGCCAGGTAAAATGGTGGAACTCTGGTATAATAATTTATTAAAGCTGTTCCACTTTAAATGAGATGATTGGGGATATCCATACATTCATCTTCTGAACCATCTCCGTTTCCCACCCATCTGGTGACACTTGCAGTGGGAACGTCCTCTATTTTTGTTATAGTTAAACTTGTGGTGTACAGGCTGCCCCTATAGTGAGCACCACTTTATTGGAATCCTGCTTGCTAGTGCTTGCAGGTGCAAATTTTGGGCAGTATTTTAACAATGGATCAATGATTTTTATTTACTAAATAAGTTGCCCACACAACAATATAAAAAACTGTCATATAATTTTAATATATTATTTCCAAGTAGGAGGTTGAGTGTGATAAATGATAAGTTTATAAAGGGGACTTCCCCTAGTAACTGGGGTCATCAAAGGCTTATAGTGGGATAGATATTAAATTCAGTATAGGCAGGGTGTTGGGGCTTAGATGAGAGGGTGAACTGACCTAACAATATACAGAAAAATCTTCTTATCTCATCTAGCCTTAACCATAATATGATTGGTACAAAGTGGGTAGGATAAAACCATGGGGGAAGTTTTAATATATTATACCCAATCATTCTTAACAGAATTAAACACATTGTGGTTGATCTCCATCTGCTTTGACTCATGATTGGTGGATAATTTTTCTTCGCCTATCATGACCCCCTCAAGCCTATAAAAGGGGTGACTTTTCTATAGACAAAAACACTGAATTGATACTAGTGCTTGGAAGACCCTCCAACTCAGGTGAGGTAACTTGTCAAGGGTCAGGAGTGACAAGGGCAGTCTGATCTGTCCTATTCAATTGAAGACAAGGTGTAAAATAATTACTCCAAGTCAAGTTATTCTGCTTAGAGAGAGGTGGTTTCATATCATTAAAATTCAGACTATTATCACCTAAAACATTTTTTTTTAGTACTAGATGGTCCCAACCCAAGGGGGGGGGGGATTCATCGATGTCACCTAAAACATTCTTCTCCCAAAGCCATGATGACACTGTCTGGCTATTATTACTGGTTCATTTGCTACCATACAATAAAATCCAAATAAATTATTACATTTATAATGCAATTGAAAAAACTATTATTTGCATTAATGAATGTTATTGTCTCTACATATCTTGCCATAAGATAATGAGTCAGGAACCAGCACAGAATCTAAAAAAATGTTTGTCTAAAATTTTAAATTGGTCAGAAAATCATATATATATCACTTAATATGTGAGTCTGCATAATAATCATTTAAATTATTTCAAAAGCCTAAAACATAATTTTTAGTACTAGTAATAGCCTAAAGCACCATCTAGTACTAAAAAAAAAAGTAATAGCCTAAAGCATTATTATGCTATTTTGTTTTTATATAAAAAATAACATAAAAAACCATGATTCTTGAGTCAATCAACTGTCAATTGATTTTATGGGTTTTTGGTAGTATACATCACCTGAGTTAACTAATTTAAACAGGTATACTAAAATAAAAACTTTACCCTTACAGCATAAAAAATTTGACTAAACCTGCAATATAAAATATATAGGTCAAATTGAGAACCTCCTAGTTTTCCGAAGTTGGTTAATGAATATCTATTTTTGGGACCATCTAGTACTAAAAAAAAATAAAAAAATATCTATTTTTGTGTTAAAAACCTAAATACTGGTCAGATACTGGACCAATACTTAAAAAATTAAAGTGACCACCATGGGAGCATTTTCTTTTTTTGAAAAAGTTCATAAAAATTGGTCCAGTAGTTTCAGAGTATTGTGCAAACAAACAGAAAATATACAGGTTGAATTGAGAACATGATACTTTTTCAAAGTTAATTAAAAAGTACAAAATTTATTTATCTCTTTATAGATGACATGTATTTATTGCATTATAAAAATTGTTTTAATTTATTTTCGAATGTGCCAAGTAAGTGACATTTAATATTATATTAGCTATATATTTCTTTTAAAAAATTGTAAGATTAAATATTAAATTTCGTATTGATTTTAGCTATAGTATTATGTATGCAGTTTTCTAAAATAAACCCTTTATCCAAGTAGTAAACAAAAAATGACAACTGGAGGGTTCGAACCTCCGCCTACATTGTAGACTGCGACCTGAACGCAGCGCCTTAGACCACTCGGCCAAGTTGCCTTTAAGTTTTAATTATCTATTTTATCTTTATAAATTTTATCTTTGTTTGTTAATCGCAATATACATATATGAGGTAGATCTGGTTTTTCTTTTTTTAGCGCTAGGTGGTCCCTACCTAAAGGGGGGATACACCGATCGTAGATCTGGTTTTTCAAAATTTATTACACCAAATACTGATTTATATTGAAACAAATTTTGAAGATTATTTTTACCTCTAATGACAAAAAATAAGTAAATATCTTAAAATTAATGTTTTCATTAAAAAATTATATTTTAAAAATTTCATTTAAAAATTACATGTATAAAGTGTCATGGTGGTGCCGAAGTCTCTGAATAGAATAGAATAAGCGTATAAATAACGTACAAACAACGTATAAATGTATAAATAACGTGTCAATCAAATTAGGGAGGATACCCCAGTGGTAGAGTATGGACCCTCTACCACTGCCTCCCGAGTTCGATCCCGGTAATGGACTTTGGGTAGGGGACGATTTTGACTGTGTTGGTTTTGCGCGCCAATGCCCCGAACCTAGATAGCGAATAGCAAAGGCGGTCCATGGAGTTCCTGGCCTATCATACGCCGCGCATGGAGGTTTTCTGGGTTTTATCCTCCTTTCCCATTTTCTTCACTTCCCTAATCGGTGCGGTACCGTCCCCAGGTCGGCCCACCTCGAATAAAATTTAAAACGTGTCAATCAAATTAAAACAAGTAATACAACACTTGCAAAAGCAGTGGAGCACTATTCTAACCTCAATAATATTGAGGTAGCAAGCGTTTGTTGTCATAATTTCTGAAAAAAGTAAATTTTCTTATAAAAATGGTAAGTTTTTTGTTAAAAAATTAGTAAATATACAAATAATGTGAAAAAAAATTTATTTTGAAATATACATAATATATATTCTGGAAGAAATTATACTATATATTTTTATGATTTGCAATGAATGGAAAAATACATAATTAAAGCTTTTTTATCATATAATAACTATATATGTAAGTTAACAAATCATAGGGGAGGATACCCAAGTGGTAGAGTATGGACCCTCTACCGCTGCCTCCCCGAGTTCGATTCCGGTACTGGAACTTTGGGTAGGGGACAATTATGACTGTGTTGGCCTTGCGTACCAATGCCCCAAACCGAGATAGCGAATAGCAAAGGTGGTCCATGGAGTTCCTGGCCTATCATACGCCGCGCGTGGAGGTTTTCCGGATTTTATCCTCCTTTCCCATTCATTCGATTTCCCTTAATAGGTGCGGTATCGTCCCCAGGTCGGCCCACCTCGAATAAAATAGTTAAAGTTAACAAATCATACTAAGTATCGCTCTTTATATATATAAGCAAATGTGTGTCCGTGTGTGTGCGCGCGATGCCTAGCCAAAACTAGAGCATGTAGAGCTCTGAAAATTTGGCTATAGGTGGACGGGAGAGGGTCTGTGTGCACCTCGAAGCCGGATTTTTAATTTTCATAGTAAAATAAAGTTTTATACGTAACAAGTGACACTTTTATATGTTTTTAATGGAAATCGGTATATTGTTACGGCCGAGAAGTTTGATATTCGGTTGATTCGGTAGTTTAAATGGTTTTGTCGAGCGGTTGGTGGGTTTGTGTTGATTAAGCTTAACGGTTTTAATAAAGAAGTTAGTGATTGGTTGATTCGATAATTTAATTAGTTTTGGTAAGTGGTTGGTGGTTTTGGTTTCGATTTTAAGTTTAGTTTTGCGAGGCAGTTGATTGGTTGATTTGGTATATTTAATGGTTTTAGCTAAGTGGTTTGGTGGTTTATCAATATGATTATCTGATAAAGTTTAAACACCGTAGCAAAGCACATGAATCTTAACGTTAGTTTTATATAATCTTAAAAAAACCTGCCCAATTTGGGTTTCCTTATTAATATTTTTTTTGGGAAAAAAAGAACCTCCTTTAAAAAAAGCTCTAAAAAGTATGAAATATTTGAGAATTTAAGCCTACTCAATAAAACCCTTTTTGAAGCCGGCACCATATTTTAAACTGAAATTTAGAATTTTGCTCATAAATACAAATTATATCTTATGTCTGGATTGGGTCCAAGTGTAAACTATAAGCAACTTAGAATATATAGTACTGAGTATATAAATTATAAATACCTATTATAAGTCAGTTAAAATATGGTGCCAACTTCAAAAAGGGTTTTATTGAATAGGCTTAATTTCTCGATTATTTCATACTTTTTAGAGCTTTTTTTAAAAGAGGTTCTTTTTTTCCCAAAATTTTTTTTGAGAAGGTTCTTTTTTTACCCAAAAAAACCTTACCCCCAGCTCTTTTCCCCTCAAAAAATTAGTGTATTTTTAAAAGCGGCTCTTTTTACTACTTTTATTAAATAGTACTATCTCTATATATTATTTTTGACCCCTTACTAAAAAAAGTATTCGAGGTGGGTCGACCTTGGGACAAATATACCACACGAGAATTTTTCTAGCCAGTACAGGTTTCAAACTCAAAACCTGCACTTAGGGTGGAAGCAGTTTTACCTGCTCAACTAACCACCCTTATGTTTCTTAAATAAGCGTGCTTAATTACCTTTAAGTAAGGGTAAAGGGTTTCTATAAATTAAAGCATATGTAAAACTATAGTATCTCAAAAGATCATTATAAATAAATTTTAATAAAATTGAAGGGTTTATAGCCATAGGGGACTCAATAGTAAAGCAAGTATAAAGACTATATATAATAGGGAGGATACCCCAGTGGTAGAGTAGGGACCTCTACCGCTGCCTCCCGAGTTTGATCCCAGTAATGGACTTTGGGTAGGGGACGATTTTGACTGTGTTGGTTTTGCGCACCAATGCCCCGAACTGAGATAGCGAATAGCAAAGGCGGTCCATGGAGTTCCTGGCCTATCATACGCCGCGCATGGAGGTTTTCCAGGTTTTATCCTCCTTTCCCATTTTCTTCACTTCCCTAATTGGTGCGGTATCATCCCCAGGTCGGCCCACCTCAAATAAAATAAAGACTATATATAATATAGTATAGATATTGCTAAAATTGATGATGTTATGAGTTATACATGCATCTATATTTTGTATTTCAAGTAGAATTGTTATTTTTCAATATCTTTTATAATATTAATTATTGATATATAACCAAACTCTGTAAGCAAATACACATAAAGCATATAGAGGCAATAGTTTTTTCTATTTTAATTTATATCCTTTAAAACTAATTAGAGTTCTAAGTCAAATGGTAGTAACACATAGCATATATTTTATTTTATCATGAATGTGGATATATGTCATATAAACATATGGTCAGTTACAATAGCTCAAAAAATTTATAAGTTTCTAAAATTTCATTATAAAATACAGATAAATGACTTAGTTATCACATCTAGTTATAGATTATAAATATTGTGTGAGTGGCCCAATCACTCAAAGGGCACTGATGAAAAGGGTTGATCCAATTGCAATAAGTTTTATTTAATCATATGATGCATCATCAAGTAATTTAGGGCCTTGTTATTATGTATGTGTGACTTTTAGACATGTATCCAAGCATGTCCAACTGTGTTGAAGCCTTGTAATTATACATAATGAGACTGCTACTGAGAACACTGGAACTCTTCTCAATCTCTGCTTATACAGTGAGGCTAAATTCAAACTTTTGACAATAAATCTTCTATAATTGGCATTATTAGAACCAAATTAAAAACAAAAATAAAGCCAAATTCTGTGAAAGAAGATATTAATGTAATTATATTGAAAATAATATAGTGTATAAGGGTTTTGTGGTGCTAAAGTAAGAATTTTATTTTTCTAAAATAAATTTTTTCTCATGAGATGATTTTTCATTTGTAACTTAGTTTCTTGGTCAGCGGAGTCCATTTCCCTTATAGTCTGAGATCTTCTAGGTTTCTTCCATAGTGTATACTGCAAGGTTTAACATACTTGAGATTATATTAATGCTGTTCTAAGCTCAAATGTTGTTCCTGTTGTTATAATGACCCTGTGGCTCTTGTGGCTGCATGGATACCTTGGTTGTAACAATTGATGGAGTTTTCAGAATTAATTTGCTTCCTGTTTAAGTAATATGCTCATTTATAAGCTTTTTACAAATGGGGAACTCTCTTCAGATGAGATTTTGGTAATCTGTCCATCAACAGCAGTTAAACCCAAAGCTATAAAAATTGTTCCTCCATAGTGTTGTCTGTGATGTCAAGTAAATAGACTTTTAAGCTTTTTTACTGGCACATCCTCTGATATCATGGTATTATGGCCTGATGACATAATTTAGGGAACCAATTGTAATAATAAAGCTAGTCTTCAGGAGGCCAATTAGTGAATTTAACAGCCCTTCCTGACCTCAAACATACCCTAGACCAGCGCTGGGTTCAGGCCAGATATGCCCAGGTCAGCCTAGGGAATGTGCGTGATGCTTATCCCTGTGTTATGGAAAGGGCGTTAAAACACACTAGCTACATTAGTAATGGCAATAGTTGAGTTTCTCAGCAAATGGGGTTTTTAAACCAATTCGATTTTTGAAATTTATAAATTGGGTCAGCTGTGCCTACAATCCATAACTCAATTTCAGTCAACCTTGAGATATATTACCCTGACAAATGGAAGCGTGTGTGTCATGAAAATGATAGAAGAAGTTTAGACCAGCCTGCCAGTTGGGATGTGTAAGCACCCAAAAAGCAATCCAGGTTTCCAGAGGCATTGCCACATGTACAATGTTATATGGAGCTGTGAATTAAGAAATGATAAATCGTTGGTGTAGGAAAATGTGACTAGCACCCCAAAAACAAACCAAATGGAGACAAACCCAGACACTGGGGGTCTTGCTGCAGGGGATGGTACCACAGGTATAGTTTCTACAAGATCACCAGTGGGTGGGTTCAGTTCAACTGATGAGACAAGGGGGCAGATCCTTTCTTGGAAATGGTGGATTTAAGGCCACAAGATCTCAGTGTATTGATGACAGATATTTGAAATAAAGGGGTTGAATTGCCAGAAGTATCTGGCTCAC